ATTGTACCTTTTCATAGTTTTTACAATTTTCTTTTAAAACTGCTAAAAGTGACTTTAAATTATTAATCTTCATCTTCATGTCTCTTCTTTTGATTTTTGCCAGTATTAATATCAAGTTTTAACTTCTTACATGAAGGACTTTAGTCAGGCGTATAACTAAAGGCGTTTAAAACATTATTTTTTTTGTTATCAGGAAAAATCTGTAATGAAATTAGGTAGGTACATAAAAATAAGTTATAATATGAATTGTTGTTTTAACTTATTATTTTCGATATAATGTTGTTTATAAATGAGTGCTTTAATATTAGGTAGGAACCTTTGGCAAGATTGAAGGAATCACTTCTGATTTTTCGAGCCTCTGTTCGGTAATCTTTGGGTTTGAAATGAAGTGTACAAACCACACAGCTTTCATGTAAGTTCCCAGGTATCAACCATTTTTTCTTTAACTCTAAATCCGATGGCAAACTGGAAATTTAAATTAAAATGTATATTTTTTATTATAGTAATAATTTGGTTTGGTTTGGTGTGTAAATAGATATTTGCAAAAGATCGATCAAACGATAAGCCTACTGACCAATAAAATTATTAAAGGATACCCATTTATGAGCCTCCACATGCTTGCTTAATGTAGGTAGACTTGCAAATAGTAAATAACCAAAATGTTAAGTGATACAACAAGTTTAAATTTAGTACTTAATTAGGCAATAATAGGGTTTATGCTCATAGTACGTACGTACTTTACATCTTTATACGTAAAGTATAGTCACCCTAGTTTCTACTGATGGCATACTTACCTGTGAAAAGATTACCCACACCCACTCACAGCACATATATTGTTTACCATTTTTCATTCCAATATACTATTTAAAGCACTTTTTTAATTCAGAGATCATTAAAACCAAGTCCATATGACAAAAAAGAAAACGATATGTTGTTTTTGTGGTGCCACGTGAAAACTTCAATTTACCTAGTGTTGCATAACGTAAAGGTAATAAAACATGCCTATAATATTGAAATGTCATGAAATATAAAAACTTTGATTTATCTAGACCATGAAAAGCTATTGCATTTGTATTATTAGTAAACTTATAAACAAGTCAAATATAATATTCATATAGAAAACGTTTTGTTCTGTGTAAACAGTTTTCACGAATTTACCACCTTTATATCAACAATATTTCACATGGCAATTGTGCGACAGAGACACACCAAGAAAAAAGATGTCTCACTTGAGCTCATTTCTATTGTTATTTAAAAAACACTTTATTCACATATTATTAAGGTTCATTTTGATATGTCAAAAAGATCGCAGTTAGCATTCCAGTTGTACGTAGTACTTATTAATTCTATGGTTTTAAATAAATTGGATGACAATTGTGTCGTAGTGATGGACAATGCCTCGTATCACTTAAAAGAAGTAGAGTTAGAACCAACAGCAAAATGTAAAAAACAAGAAATTATAGACTGGTTAAAAGAAAAAAATAATAATTTTGAGGACTATCAGGTTTAAAACGGGAGTTATTAAATTAAATATGAGGCCCGAATTGTTGATGAAATGGCTCGAACCCAAAATAAAACTGTGTTACGACTTCTACCGTATCACTGCGAATTAAACCCAATCGAATTAATTTGAGCTCAAATTAAAGGGAATGTAGCTTCAAACATGAAAAGTTTTAAAATGGTAGAATTAAAAAATGTATTAAAAAAAATAAAAAGAAAATGTAACCGCACTACATTGGAAATATTGTATAAAACATGTTCGAGGAGAAATTGAGCCCAAAATGAACAATATGGACAGAAATGTAGGAGTTACGGTAGAAAGTTTGGTAATACCTTTAGGATACGTCGGATAGTGAGTAAATAATTATGATAAGAGGAATAAATTTTATAATGCATTACCGACTTTGTTGCTTCAATTCCTACTAACTTACTATTGAAGAAGTCATAAAAAACTTTTTCTGTGGAAAAAACTAACTACATAAAAGGACATAGCCCCACGGACACATCGTAAGTGGACTCAATAATAATAATTTTATCAATCCAGGAAGCGCAAGCGCAGTATGTACGCGTGCTTACTTTTATAAGATATCGTTGACGCCAACTGCCCTTAAAGATGTGTTTTTTGTCTTTGTCATTTGTATGGTATTGTGTGACAGAGAAAGCGCTCTACTAACTCGACTCCAGGAACAGAGTATAGTGGAGGTGCTTTTTAGTGCCGTTTTTTATATTTCTTCCCTGATTCGAATGAGACTAGGTCATACGTTCCAAAGAACCCTCTTTATCAATAACTTGATTTCTCTTCAAATTCCTTTTCCAGAAAATATACTATTACTAGTTTTATCAAATGAAGCAGCTTTATAAATGTATCATTCTTCCACCCCGGGTCTCCGATCCTGGAGGTCTGCAGCCATCCGCCAAAATCATAATAATAAAATAACATTAAAAATGTATGATAAATATATTGCAATATCAAGTTTCTGCCTCGGTTAGGAAAAGTTGTAGATTGCGGGCAGTGCCGAATAAAGCCAAAGCGGGGCCCATAGCAAATAACGCCTCTCTCCCTCCTCCGAAACAGAAAAGACATTCTTTGCCTTTCAAATAACACACTAATCTTTGTCTTAAGTGAGTTTTATTTGTCATTTTATGTTCATACCAAAAAATATGACTATTCAGAAGCGTGGCTTATTTTATATTTTTATTATTAAAAATTAAATAATCGGCTCTGAACCATAACAAGGCTCTTAATTGCACGGGGCCCGTAGGATTTATTACTTTTGCTACGTGGCTAATCCGGGCCTGAATCCAGGCCTATTCCCGCTCGGGGCCTCCGATGAGTTTAGTCGGCCGCTGCTCCTGTCTAAGCACAATATCATTATTACAAGCAGATATTTTAACATATGTTCAAATATTTGCTGTCATTGATAATCTTTTTTATCGTCCTTGTTGAATAATCTTGTTTTATCCGTTAATCGTATTTTAAAATCGAAATGTAATTTCAAAATAATAAAAAAATCTAATCAAGTATAACTATACTAAAGTATAATGTGTCATGCAATCAAAAAGGTAATTCGTTATCGAGCTTCTTCTTCTATTAATGGCTTATCTGCGCCAGTAGCGTAGCTGGGTAACCTAGAGCCCTGGGGCAAATAAAAAAATGGGGCCCACTGCTATCAAAACTGGTAAGGTTTTTTGTAGTAAAATCATTAAATATACAAATACTTTAAAAATGCTGAGCAACTTTATGATCAGCTCTTTTTTGTGCATGGGCAGGTAATAAACTAATAAACACTAACAACATAAATTACAACTATTTTTATACTTGGTGTAGGTATTGGGAAATAAAACGAAATAGAAAAGATTCAAGGGTTTATTATATATTTATTTACTCAAAGATACGTTGCACCAGCTTACTGTTATTTAACCTATCGCCATGCAAGCTATTTACAAAAAATATCAATAGAAATATTTTGTCCAGAAGTACTTGCAGAAGGCTGACTAAAAAACTTGTCAATTATGGGCAATTTTTTTTTTCTTTATTCTCTTTCCTTGCGTTGTTTGTGTCTAAATGCATCACTGGGTTTCTTTTTTTTGTCCATAATATTAGTTTTCTAATTTATTTTAGAAGTAAAAAGAAAGCGAAACGTAAGTAAAAGGAAAACATTTTATCGCCGCCAGTGTTAACAAAATGACGAAAAAAAACATCACGTAATTAATGGACGGCCCCCTACCGCATGTGACTTGTATTTTTCACGGTATTTTGAGTTATATAGTGAGTAGCCGAAATCTATAGATTTCTTTAAGTAACTATGTATACGTACTATAATCAAATAAAATGAACTTTTGTATGGACCAGTACAAAAAATTTATTGACATACGCTTACTTACTCCTGATACATTAACTTTTTAACCATTCTCGAAAAATAATCTTGACTCGAAGTTCACAATCGCGAATCACAAAACGCATATCGATAAATAATAATATGCAGATATTGATATCCGAAAAATTGATGAAAATATTAATGACACTGTCAACCCACACAAATAATTTTAGGGGAATTCCCTTTTTATAACTTTGGAATTTCTCACAATTGAGTTGTCATGATTAAACTCGAAATGTCACCTGTCATATTCATTTTGAAAATGGGATACATTTTTAAAAGTTGAGTTCGATTGAGATTTTCTGGTAAAGATTCGAGGGCCCCCTGAGCTTGAGGGCCCCGGGGCACTGCCTCGCCTAGCACCTTGGTAGCTACGCCACTGATCTGCGCGTTTCACACAATTCTGCCAATGGGATTATTACAAAAATGGCATGTAAGTACGTCCCTTTTCTTCTTCTCTTTTTAATTAATGGCTTATCTGCGCATTTCGCACAATTCTGCCAATGTCAAGTAAATAAATTAATTTTTACATGTAAAAAAAATAAAATAAAAAATGGCATGTAAGTACGTCCCTTTTTATGATGACATGTGTCAAAAAAAAGGTGCCATAGAGCCTTTTCAGTAAATAACCAACAATTAATTTAATAGTGGTCTGTGGTTTGATTCAATATGATTAACTTTAAATCATTGTTTATATAAAATTATTTCTTAATTAACGTATTAAAATCGTATTAACATATTAAGTTGTTTTTGGTAAATCTATGTAGAAAGATAGAATTGGTAATTCAAAATTGTTTTGTTGAATGAATGTATTTAAATCGTGTAATGGTCTCCTACGTGAAGTTGGCAGTAATGTGGTGACGCAACGTGCCACAAAGTGCCATTAAAGTTAAGAAGAAGTAAATAACCACAGACCAAGAAGGGGATACTTTATCTATCATACCTACTAAGTCTGTGACCATACCCTGTGTATTTAGTTTGTGGTTTATCAGGGGTCTGTGTCAGGGACCCAAAAAAATAAAACTGTCAGGGACCTTTAAAAGAATTTGGTTAGTTTTCCGATCTTGTTGATTTTTGCAATAACAATTATAGTATTTGTCGAGGGTTTAGCAAACTTTTATCATGGCCCCAGTAAAAAAACTAGAACTTCCGAAATCGGTGTTAGATATGAAATTTATGAGAAAAGCGAAGGAACGAAAGGAAAGGGAAATAGAAAACACTCAAGATCACCATGGCTTATATGCCAATATAATTACCAGCGAGATGAGGCATGCTTCAGGAAACTTTATATCCGAGACCAGTTTTATTTATTGTGAGGATTTATTAGAAGGCAGATTGTCTTTTAAAGGAATGAATCCTGAAATAGAAAGACTTATGGAGCAAGAAAACAAGACTACAGATATAGATGGCGAAATGCAAAAAGACATATCAGATGAAGTACTATTTGAAAAACTTGATACTTTCAAAAAACGAAAACATTCTAATACTAGCACACCAAGTAAACAACCTGCTACTAAAAAGAAAAAACGTCTTAATTAAACGTAATGCATGTTATTTTTACCAGTTAGGTAAATGACATGTTTTCAGTTAAACCTATCTGCCATGTGATGTTAATTGAAGTTTGTTAGTCAATTATGTTTTATTATTATATTGTTTAGGGCATATGTCGTTCTTGAAGTCGGGCATAGTGATAGTAAATTTGTATCACATTTTTTTGTTTTACTATTCTTCAATACTAATTTCCTAGATTATTTATTATCATATGTGTCAGGCTGGCAGCTCCACACTCTTCAATCTTGAATTAAATTTCTGATCAATCTAGTCCCATATATATTATAGTCATGAAATAGGGATAAAATAGCCAAATTACATAGTTTCAAAGATAAATGAGTATCTTTGTAGCGCAGCTGGGCAATATCACAGGTAGAACTCTATATTTACAATGAATTCCAAGAAATCTTCAATGACATCCTAGCAGTATGGGACAAAGCGGGGATAAATGGCAGAAACTCCTAGAGAAGATTGAGAAATAATGTGGTTGTGCTGGGCTGACATGGAAAAAACAATTTATATTATAAATTAGTTTATTACAACATTTGACATTGATATGATAGTGACTCATTAATACTATATCATTTAATAGTATACAAATAAAATGAAATTTAAATAATTATAAATTATGGAAGCAAGAGGTTGAGATTCCTAAATTTAATGCACATAGAATTTTAGATAATTAGTCTTCAATAACATTTTGCCAACATGAAAAACAAAATTTGTTTCTTGATATGTTAATACATTTGAACAGGCTACTACTAAATTTATTTGTGGTTAATTTACTTGCTTCTGAAATAATTTACTCTGATTATTTAATTAATTTACCCATCCATATGGATGGGTTAAAAATAAGTATTTAGGTACTTCCATTATGTTACATACATATGCAGAAAGTTACATTTAATGAAATCAAAGAAAAAAATATTATATATATATTAAAAAAAAATGTCTAAAATTGGATGCTTTATATAGACATGGATTTGAAAAACAAAGATATAAACATAGCAAGTTTTTACTTCAAGAGATAGTATGTACATTTTTACTAAATATTCAAATTCTTTTCTCTTTCACAAGTCTCATCATTTCTTGCCTAGGCATTCAACTTCTATGTTTATAACTTTACTGGGCTGATAATGTTGCCTGCTCATCCAAGCCTCACCTGATGTAAAATCACCACTACTATTACTATTCAATTGAGTAAAAATATTGATGATCTTTAGAAATGAGTTTAACTTTCTATTAATTAAAATATACACAATACTCAAGCACTATTAAAAAGCTCTCATATGCTTGTAAAACTAATTTCAACATCTTTTATTACAATAGATTTCAAGAATATATTGCTAATTTTTGCCAAAAGTCATCAACAGCATGGCGCACCAACCACCGCTATTACAGTTAGCCTCTTTGAGAGTTTCTAAATTGCAGCGTTTAGGGGTTATCTATAAACACGACACATTAAAACCAGTCATAGTTTTGTGACGTCACAATTCAAAATGTAATAAAACATAAATAGCTTTCCGTCTGCGGAATTACCCGCGAGATCCCTAGGGAACCGTTCAAAGTCAAAGTATTTGCGCAATAATATGTATCTACATTTCAGTGGAAAAAAAAGTAGCCTAATGTTAATTCAGGATTCCAAATTTTATCAGTCCGTTCAGTAGTTTTTGTGTGAAAGAAGTAAGTAGGATATCTCGGTGAAAAAAAAAACATTCTTGAAAATAAATTATTTCAGAGCTTATATTATATTTTTATGACGTCACAGAATGAAGGATGGGGTCTCGTAAAATCATGAAATTCGTGTAACGTAATTTACGGACGGCCCCTCTTACTATTTACTAAGGCCCAAGACGTGATCTCCAAAATACTTATTCAACATTTTAGATTAACCTAATAAAATAATTAGTCTTTCATACTGTTTACGTTATTTAGTCTTATTGAGATACTGTTATTTTTTTAATGCCTAATATATACATTTCGATGTCTCGTATCGTGTGGACGATGTCAGTCGAGGCCTTGCTGCATCAGTGTGTGAAGATCGCGGAAGGCGGCACCGAGGCGGCCTTGAAGGGTTTGTCTCTTTAGAAGGAAGGCGCGTACGTCGAGCAGTAGTCGGTGTATCTGAACACATTTAGCATAACGCTCTTCTCGCGGAATATCCACTCCTAGTGTACGTACCGGCGCGCTCACATTAGCTCTAACAACTGATGAGAAGTTGCGTACTATCAATCTCAACGCATTACAACCACATTGCATATATCTGAAACAAATTGTCGAACATGGATGCGATATTTTTAAATAATATAAATTTAATAATTGCTCGGTTAGAAACAAAAAAAAATGACTTACGATTCGTATTTACTTTGCAACAATTCGTAAATTTTGGGCAACATCAACAAACATATATCTAAATTCCATAGGGACCTGGAACGAAATAAAAGAACGTTAGTAGGAGTAAATTAATTATCTTTATATTTTATATCAATAATAAACGTTTATATTTATAATGTGTCATCCACTTACGGTTTATGAGCCATTACATTCAGAATGTCTAATATAACTGAAGTATCTTCAAGAGCAATTATCGACTCCAAAGCTGATTTCAAACTTTTATTGATACGAACAGAATGGAATATCTGAAAAGATCATTATATAAATGGTTAATTTTGTTAAAATATATTGAAGCTGCATTTACACGTACAACATACAAATCAAGCATGTCCATATTAGAAACATACCGGTCTATGGTAAAATATAAATAAAATTAAAAATCTACGATCAATATATAAAATATTAGATGGATAAACATTACGATAAGCTACACTTATTATATCATAGATAACTAGCCTTCCTCCAGCGGCTTCGTCTGCGTAGTCTTGTATATAAACCTCTCGTTAGAATCACCCTATACATTGATGAAAACCTCATTAGTTTAAAAGATCACAGCGTACAGATAGGGGGAAGCGACTGTTATACTAAGCATAGATGAAACTTCGTATATTCTGTCTGCTATTTACTCTGTTAGGTCTCCAGTCCTGGGGCCCTCGAAATGGGCTGCAGCCACCCGCCAAAATCATAATAATATAATAAAGTTAAAAATGTATACGTTGTGGAGTTGTAAACGCAATATCAAGTTTCTGCCCTGGTTGAAAAAAGTTGTCGATTAGGCCCTATTGCCGCCTCGGGCCTCGGAGGTTAGTACCCCCCACTGATTGTACTCTGAAGCACAATTTTTGTTTTGCGTATAACTGCGTGTTTGGTTTCCAGCGTCGATGTATACCTGTAGGGCTCGTTGTCGCGCGGTGAGCACGGCCATCATGGAGTCGTGCCCTCGCATCATGACGCCGAGCACCTCCTGCTCGCTCGGCTCCGCGCCCCCGCCCCGCACACCGCGCCTCACCCCGCCCGCGCCCAAGCCCCGCTACTCGACAAATGTTTTACGCCGTTAGTACACATACGCAATCGCATGCGAATGTGAAACATTTGGGAAATCTTGTCAGTTGTAGAACAATGTTTCGCATGTGCTTTGTCTCGCTCTATTATTAGCTCGTTGGAATAGCTGCGTCCTTGTTAGTACAGATTCACAGTCAACTGAGATAAACGTCGTTGCACAGACGCACATGTTTCGCATTCAGGGTTGCCACCCGTCCCGATTTCTGATGACTATCCGAATGACACAAATTTTGTTACTCAACATGACAACCCTGTTCATATTCGCATAGTTTCGCATTCGCACCGGCGATAAAAATTGTATTTAGGTATAACAGGCTTGTGGTGATGATGTAGATATAGGCTCAGAATTATCAACCAATAAAATATACCATATTTCATAAAAATCTATTCAGTAGTGTTTGCGTCATATAATAACAAACAATATGTATACATATCTCTATCATCCGTCACAAAATTTCGCTTTTATATTATTCGTAGGAAGTAGAATGTCTGTATGAACGAAAAATTTCTACTTATGATATTTGAACTATAGCCAACTCAATATGTACGGTCATTAGGTTGAAATTGATTTTTTGCAACAAATCGAATGATAATGAGTATCTTTTATTATATATTAAGTTTTGCCCAAAACTTGGTTATGGTCAGGCTTTAACTATTATCCGAACAAAATGATATGGTTGCAATTATTTACATTATGTAATGGTCACCTACGTGAAGTTGGCAGCATCTGGTGGACACAAAATAGCCGTTAAAAGACAAGAAGTCAACACATCTCCAATTTGATTTCTACTTTCTACTACTACTTCTTCTTTCTCGTCATTGTAAATTCGTTTTAGGCCACCAATTTCAAACAAACAAGCAAATATTTACACTTTTTAATAAATAAAAAAAATAGTATAGATTACATATTTTTTTAAATAAAATTTGTATAAAAAAATAACTTAATTAGACAATTGTTGTTGTCCTTTTTTATTTAAAAATAAATATACTATTGTCAGAAATGAGAAAGAAAACTTACAGGTACGAATTCATCCAGGTCTAGTCCAACAGGGCGGTCAGTTGCGAATGGTACAAATTCTGGTTCTGGTTCTCTTTCAGCTGGTTCAATATTCCTTGATACTGGTACACTATCTCTAACAACATTTTCCACTCTTCGTCTAAAAAAGAGATCATCAATAAATGACAGTAATAGACATAACATTGCAATAACAAAGAAATAAAAATCACCTCATACCTAGTTTCAGTAGTTCTAGTAAATGATAAAGACCTAGGACCTAAAGACGGAGGTCCTAAAGATATTTCACTATTGCTTTGTCTAAGATTGGTGTTGGCTGTAAAATAGAAGCATTTTGTAAATACATAAATATGAGCTATCAATGCTAATTAATTAAACAATTTCATTTACTATATCAAGACTCACTTAATTCTGTAGTGGATTTTGTCTCCTTGTATGAGTTATGGCGGTTAAGTGTGTTTGCCGAGAGAGGGCTAGCAGCATAATCTCGTATAGCACAAGTTTGTGCTGTGCCAAACGTGTTATCTTCTTTAGCATTATCCACCACCCCTGAGTTGAGCAAAAAGCATATGAAATATGGAAGCAAATAGCATTATTTGTAATGTGTAAATTAGCATAATATGTAAATTATTGATACATGTTAAATAATATATATTGTAAACAAATAATTTTATGATCTTACTCGAAGAGATTTCAGATTTCTTATCCATGACCGTGTAATGTTCCTTAGTAGACATTGGTATACGTGAATAATTTTCGGGCCGCTGTCTTTGCGGCGGTGATGGTTGAGGCGTAGGTCGGGTCAATGGCACTGGTTCCTCCAACATTAAGTCTCGCAAAGACGAGCTCATACCACTTTCTAACTTATTCGGCGATTCTTGAACTAGAAATAATATTATCAGTGTCAAAATAAGTGAACCATCATTATAATACCAATAAATAATATGGGTAACATTACTTGAAATAGAATAATCTTCGGACGATAAACTGGTGGCTGGTGGTGGTGTTCGGGTTACTGTAATAATACATGTGATGTAATATGGATAAGTATTTATTTAGTTCATGTCTGTATAGTGAGTTAATTGTAACAAAGTTTATGCGATCAAATGAGTGAAAAATTTATATGGGTATCTACTCACATGATCTAGAAGGTCGGAAAATTTCAGTGTAGTCATTAAAATTAGGTATAACAGCACCTGAATCCTCATCTGCCTCAGTTCCTGACGTAGATTCTTCGGCGGTTTTTTCGTCTAGAAGTGTTCTCTGATGCAACACTGGAATAATAATCAAATTTAATAACAATAACCATGTTATTTTATTTTAACAATAGACATCAAACTAAAATGGAAGTATATTATTACTATAGTAAATAAATACATACCTTCTTTGGATGGCTTTTCCTTTGAAAAGCTTTTTCTGACCGAGTGACCTTTTTGGAATGGTGAAAGATCTCGAACTACAGTAGGTACAACCGGAGGAGGACCACCGAATGGATGTACTTTATTAAGATCAACAACAGATAGTACAACGTATGTGGAGTGGAAAGAACCGGCAATCTGTAATTTTATTTCCAATATCAAGCAAATACCTTGATTATTTTAAAGAAATACTTAGTTATCTAATGAAAAATGTTTTAACTGAATTGCTAGTTCACAAAAAGATACAAATATATATAAAATTTCGCAAACTTTTTCGAAATTAAGTAATACAAATATAGCAATCCTACTACGAATATTTATATAATAATCGGATTAATACAGGTGTAGACAGTAAACGAACATAAATACATTTTTTTTTTTGTTAGTGTTTAATTATACTATTACCGATAATCACACTTTTATGCTTATTATGTTTATAATATGCTTAAATTAATTATGAAAAGAACAAATATTTAATACCCGTTCTCAGATGACTTCCTACTCATAATCAGAACTTAGAGAACTCAACCTTATGTATACATATAACGATATTCTTTCAGATTGTCGTGACGTCATAGCGACACCATGTCAGAAGGGGCGTATTCGCGAGAAATTTTGAAAATTAAATTTATTTTTATATTTTAATTTATTACATCACTCTAAATTAGCCAAAATTAAGAGTGATTTAATATTTTATATTTTGGCTGTATATAAATAAAGAGTATACCTAATTACAACTTACAAGTTGTGTTTGTGCAATTGTGATGTCATGTATTTGACCCCAATGACCAGGTACCGTATCAAGAACTCTAGCTGGTTCCCAGCCGATCACCTGAAGGCCATCATTACCACATCCTAATAATGTAGTACCATCGTTACTGAATACCATGTGCCTGAAAGAATATATATAAGAAAATTTATATTTAAATTACATAGTACGAGTATCTTGTTGATCAAACTCGATACCCTAATACAACACTAAAAGTTGAATGTCAATATTCTCAACATTTACACCATATTATATAAAATGATGTGATACAATAAATAAACCATGATTAATAATAATATACTGAATGAAAAAAATAACATGATTTTTCATTACCTTATTGAAGTATTCTCTTTTTCGAATTTTGAGACTAATTGGAACTTTTCCATATCCCAAAAATTTACAGTCCTGTCTGTACCACAACTAGCAAGTAAAAACTCATGTGGATGAAATTTAATACATGTTATTGCAGATGTATGTTCCATAAACTCTTGAAGTACTTTGCCCACTCTTACATCCCAAACTTTGACTAGTCCTATAACAATAAGAAGCTTAAAATTTAGCAAATATTTTATTAAATCATTTAAATATTGATAATGAGGAATATCAATGGATTCGTCAAATCGCTTTTAACTTCGTGTCTGTGTAGTCTTCACATTTAGAAATACTTCTGTTTTTTGTTTAATGATAATCGAGCGAGTAGTTTTAATAATAATAATTTTTATTTAGAACAACATTTAGAAATCCATACTTTTTATTAGTTTTATAAAAAAAATAAACTTAAAATCTTGTGTTAGTACCGTTTACAATTCGTGCAATTACTAAGACACTAATTTTGTGGCTGTAAAACATCTCCATGTTTTACAGCCACAAAATTAGTGTCTGTCCGGAGGGACACAATGTGCTATAATAGAAGAATCGTATCGTCTTCCTATTACTTGTAGAATACAATTAAAAGCCGTCCCGCACTCTGAAGAGCGACGAAGCACTATTATTTCTCATGATGATGACTATAATTGGTCCAGAGACTGCTTGTATAGAATACTAGACAGTAAGCTCGAAAGACGTAATTTGACTGAAATACTACGGCGAAAATCCAAGCGGGAAATTCTACGAGCCAGTATGTTACAACAGCGCACCACTGCACTCTTTCTCAATGTCAACCTTATGCCCATTCTCAGGTAATGTCAGAGATATTTAAATCGGTATATAAGTTGGAGTTCCTTAACATTCAGTGAAATTTTAAGTCGGTTTAGGTGCCGAATATATTCGGTTCGATTACTTATATTTTGTCGACTACACAACACAGTATACAACTAAAGTTAAAACTTCTTTTGTATGCTTTAAGTTTATTTAAATTTAAAGAAATCCTATGAAATCATTAATATTTAATTTATAAACTATAGCCAACATTTTTAAACTTCAAATCGACATTTTAACCGAAATAAATAGAGATCAGAAATAAAATAAGAGATAAGCAAAAGAAACATACATAATATTATAATATTTATAAAAAAATAAGATGGATAGTGCAGAAATACCAAGCTCTCGGTCCTCTTCGGCAGCAACCTATATGTAGAAATACGCATCAGACTATTCTGTTGCGTATTTGTTCGTATGGGTTGCTTGAGCCCTCTCAATAAATAAATTTCAAATTCATGTAAAGAATATACTTATGAGTAAAGGCTATTATAAAGTTGATGATTATTTTAAAGATCGCAATGCATGGAATTAATAGCTTTCGCTCTGTTCTATAACGATTAATTATAAGTATGAACCAACCTATGTCTTACAGACTTTTAAACTTGTATTTATTATTGTTCAATATATGTATTATTTTGGTAATGACATGATTTATGTAAATGTCATTACTTATGATAAAAAGCTGGTAAGTTTCTTTCGCTTGTTTTTCTTGTCAGCTAAAAGACGTCCTGAACAAGTGGTAGGGGAAAAAATATTTTTGGACGATTCAAAAGTGCTTGTAACAAGCTTACTTGAATAAAACATTTTCATTTCAACGCCCTCACAGTAGGCCTCAGCAACACCGTGTCATCAGCGCAACTGATATAATTAACACTTACATCATCACTGCGACATCCCAATGTCATGCTGTGAGCCCAACGATAAGGTCGTTGATATACAAATGAAAAAGTTGTTGTCGTTGATAGAAAAAGAAAAAGGAGAGGACATGCCACCCTGCCCTGAACGAGTCTGAAAGACGCCGTTCATTATTACATGATGTTGTTTTCAGCCTTTTTAACCCCCCCTCCCCCTTGGTGATAAGTGGTGAAGTTTAAGACTACCCTCTCCACCCAAATCACTTTGATTTTTAGTACCTACAAAAAATCTTATTTTTTGACGCCGCTTCTCGGTTTAGTAATCGCGCGTTTGAGGAAAAAATAAAAACACGTGATATATTATTACGTCCCCTCCCCGTTGTGATATTTCGTGATATTTGACGAACCTCCCCCCCCTATTTCATGCGTTACTCCATGTCGCAGTATTCTCCTGATTATGGTACCAATATTGAAAGATGCGCAACAATTCCGCCGGTACACCGAAGTCCGATAACTTTGTCCATAGCACATCGTAAGATAGGAGGACAAAAGCGCGAGGGGCGTCAATAAAACAGGCGTAGACAGGTGTCTTTCTTTTGGTGTAATATTTCACCGTGTGCTTTAAAGCTAGGATTGCACTTTCTGTCGAAAGTCCTGACCTGACCGGAAGCCAAATTGTGACGACAATCCAACAAACTATCTAGTATCTATAGTTACATTTTGTCGTTCATATCTCCAATTTTGTTTTTAAGAATAGGTACAACTATTGTATGCCTTATGCGTCTGCGTTCTGCGTATCACTGGGAAGTTAAGAATAACACATGCACATAGCTAAGACCTTCGCGAAGTGAGTGCGTGCTGCAAGTGCTCGATGCTGAGACCGTCGTTACCTGGTGGTGATTTACCTTTTGTCATTCGTTGTATTAGTTTTTAAGGTATGATTGTTTTAACATCTGCCTTTTTTTTTAAATTTCGCCTTGGTGCGCTATGATCGTGTGACATCAAGTTACAACGCGCCGCACTTGCAGTACTGAGTCACTAATACATTGTACCGATTTCTTGGCGAGAATAACAGTAACTTGTAAATGTGGTAATGCTAAAGCATAGGTATTCATAATAGATGACACCAACCCACTACATAGTTAATCGTATTGGTCTCGCGTGCTGGGCCCTTTGCAGATTGGTAGGGTGGGTGCTAGGCTATAGGTATTTCTGATGGATGGCATATGTAATAGAAACAGTGATCCGTACAGGGCTACATAATGGATCCAAGGTGAATCTATGATACTAAATCTCAGGTCTTCATGATACTACTGGGACCGCATGTAAATCCTGAATGCAAATTGGTGGTAATAAAGCACAGGTATTCTTAATGGATGTAACACTAATCCACCCAGCATTCAGTACTGGGCCTGTGTATAGGACCCATAGCAGATTGTTGGTGCTAAAGCACAAGTATACTTAATAGATGAAACCAATCTACCAAGTAATCCACACTGGCCAGCGTGGTCAACCTAAATTGCCCTGCTAACTAAAATTAGACTTTATAACCAATCCGATTACCGGTTCACTATCGGATTGGTAGATTTGCGATCGTCGCTAAACCTATGCAGTAGCAGATCAAACGTACTAACTACACTACACAAATTGAGTAATATATATATATTTTCACATTGATTACCTGTGAATGTGACCTTATATAACAGAAATTCCTTTTAAGTGTGCAATTTTATGAGTGCATCGCATCGAGCCATGAGTAAAGAGCTCTAAGCTCAATACAATAAATGTTTTCGTTGTTTTTGGATTTAACATGTTAATTAATTTTGTACTTAGAGTATGGCATGCGCTGAGCGAGTGCACCTAACTTAAAAATTTAATATATTAAAAGCTATATGATGTATAGAAAAAATAATTTAACATATTTTTTTAATTTAACTATACTATAATCAATGACATTCCTCATTACTTACTTCCATTGCTAAAATCCTATATTTGTAAAAACTATTATAAAAAAAAATTATCAAGAATTTTGATATATAGTATTTTGTACTATAATACAATATATTCTTACCATCTTCACATGCTGAAGCTATCCATTGACCATCTGGACTGAACTGCAAACTATTTACAGCAACTTGATGACTCGAGTAGGTTACTATACAGCCCCTTTTCCTAGTATCCCACAGCTTTATGTTGCTATCGCAAGACCCTGTTGTTAAGTAATCACCATAAGGATGAAAATCCATACATTTTATAGCACCCTTATGTCCAGTGAAAGTCCTTAAAAGTTTTGCTGCTTCCAAATCCCAAATCTTCAGTGCACCCGTTTGTGAACCAGCACACACCAAATCTTCAGAGTGTCCAAAACAAACACATTCAACAGGAGTTGTGTGGCCACTTAAACTCTGCAATTATAATAAATGTAAGCACTGGTGACTGCTATTATTGAAAAAACCTTTACATCAGATTTGTAGGTAGTACATAGATTACAATGTTAATAAGTAAACCTCTTTGTTACATTCCATCATTCTTTTTATTGGTATACAAATGTTACAATTATATCAATTTCAATAACTTTAAGTTATTACAAACCATCAAGCAGCTCTGTCTCCCTATCGCCCATAAATTAACTTTTTTATCATCACCTCCAGTAGCTAAGACTTGGTTCGATTTGTGTCCCATGGCCAAGCAGTTGACATTTGCCTTGTGGGCAACAAATTCTTCTGAAAAGATGAAAATTAGTGTGTCAGTAAGATTCCATCACAATATTAATTAAGCTGAATTCAATTTATTTTGCTACATACGTAATTTCCATGATCTTCTTATAGTTTCCATGATTTTTCTCTTATTTACTATCCATACCAAGAAACTTAACTTCTTTGTAACAATATTCTATTATTCAGTTGAACAACATCTTTAATTTATAATGTAAGCATACTATAGCAGATTATTGTTTTGGTTAAATTTACGATTTTATTACATTGAGTAGGAAGTTCTACTCTTACTAGAATTTTTGGATGGTATTTAATTCATACGAATACGACACACATTGAATTCAATTGACACTTTGTTATTGACATTTAGGGATGCACTCAACTACGATTCGGAAAACCGATATAAATCGAAATAACACCTGTCAAAAATATCGATTTATTTATTTATATCAATAAACAGCGATATCGACATCAAAAATACCAACATATCCAAACCTAATGTTGAATTAACCTGTCCAAAGAGCAAATAAATAACAGTCGTCGATAACATACAACAGCGTTAGGCAATATGCCTAACTCAACTAGACAGCTTAAAGTTGTAATCGCCGTAGTAAGTGAACATTATTTCGATTGTCCTCTGAGTTCAGAATAGGGGGCTGATCTTCACATGTGATATTATTTTGATCCCAGACTTTTGGCTTTGTTTGTAGCAGTTTTTTATTATTACAATAAATACGTAAGCGGCAACCGGAGGATGCAAAAAAAATCAATTTTTATTTTAGACTATTTAATATAATTAAAATATTACAACTAAGTATGTGACTATTGTTCGATGGTGTAACAAAAAGTGTCGCTTTGTAGGTCGTCGCCACATCGTCCGGTGTCCGATGATGCACGTTCCGCAGCGTCAGCGCCTCGTGACTGGTTCATAGTTTGTTTCGTAATTTTGGGTAATCGCTAGCTTGCAGGTTGCACGATGTGGCAGTGTGTAACACAATTAATTCTTAATAATATCTTATTTTTAATCCAATGTCAATATATTTAAATTGGCAATAAGACAATCTCCCATTGTGGTCACGAGTATGCCTTCTGAATATTTTTTTCTCAAAAGAAGGAATCACCATTACACAAAGTAAGAAAATTGTTCTAATATTATAGTTTCGAATTCTATCTCACTCCCTTTAAAAGGTATAACGATTGTGTTAGCTGTTGATGATTTGAATGAACACAGCATGTCATACAGTCAAACTTATTTAAATTTAAGGGAATATTTGCGTCTAACGTCATATTAACAATTAAAAAAATTCATTATCTTTAAAAGATTTCGTGAGCCAGGTGTTATGTTAATTCGTACGGTGGGTATGTGCTTTTTTGTTCTGACAATAATTTTATCAATAATATATTGACTTCCTACTCAACCTGATCTAGAAATCAGTTTTACTGAAATATTTTACTCATTAAGGACCTAGAGCAGTCATGCTCCCTTAAAAATCTCTGCGGTGTTTTCGTGTGCGTCGGGTCGTTACGTTCCCTCAAATATAGATGAGTGAAGCGACTCATGGTCAAGCTCGTCAACGGGTGCCAGTGGGGGTGAATCTGCACTGGACTACTTAATTTTGTCCATTATTTTTTATTATGAATATTGTATATTGATTGTCAATGAATATGTAGGATTTCTGGTATTATTTATAATGGAAAGTGATTTCATAGTTTAATTAAGTGACATTCCAGCAAAACTTCCCTATGTGAAATAAAAAAGTGAGAAAAAAGCAGCCCTTGCTGAGTTTGACGTGTGGATGCATAATGGCACATATTGAAATAAGGCACATAAAAACAAGCTGAGTTCTTGATTCCAAACCTGAATTCGGATGAATCGAGTCAATTGAAGTTACGAGCAACCACTAAGTTATAAGTTAAGCAAGTTGGCCATCACTAATGTTGACATATAAACTAAACATCGTTCCTTTACACGTTACATAATAAATAACTTAAACTTACGATTTAAATAAAATAAAATAATTTTGAAAGTTAGATATTATAAGAAACACGAAACGAAGTCATATTTATTAATTTTTGATACTCAATTTACTTTTATTACGTCAGAAACAAAGTTCTAATGTATATCATAAACAAAATCCAAACATAGCTAGGGACATCTAGTTTGATTTCAATAACAAATTTTTATTTTTTAAATACTTCCACATTGAATTTCAACTCAATATTAATCCGAGTTATCAGATCCATTACAATACTAACAATTCTATTCTCTTTGGTTCAACGTAATGAATTGACATTTAGATCCTACAACTTGTGCTGCCATCTAGTGAAAAAAATTTTTTTACTTTCTTTATTTTTTTTTTAAATACTTCCTCATTACATGCTAAGATAGTGCTCACAGACCAATCTCTTAAATACTTTTAATAGTCCTTATGTAAAACATCTTATATGTTATATATACTATTCTATGACTGAACACGAAAAGATTGCGCAGTTCGTTTATTGTGCAATATAATTGATCGCTTGTATTCTAAGCGCCTTTCAATCTTATTGTACAATAAAATATATTGTACAATGTTATTGTGGCGTCTAGGGGCCGCCTTAGGCATTAGTGACATTATTTACTGCTTACTGCTCGAGTTTTCAAATTAATCGTATAGTGTTAAGATCTAATTCCATTGTCAAAATATGTAAATATTAAACAGATATGCATTTTCTTCATATTTAACTTTTTGGGACTTGTCCTATAGAAAAGTTCTTCATGGTTACATTACAGTGTTGGCAACACAAGAAACGGTTGACTATTCAGTTCAGTATTACCAACCCTTCTGTTTTAAAAGTACATTTGTATTTTTCACATTAATGCCATTGTGTGCTGCTATATATCCCAAATTTTTACTGTTTTTAAATTAGCATTCAGCACCAACATTTAATATGTGTTTTTTTGAAACACGGGATTTTTAGTGGATTTGCAGTGAGGTTTGGGGGGAAATTCATAATAGCATATGGCAACACTGAGAGTACATCTGTGATAAAGTCAACGCAACTATAGGTACCACAGACTTAGTAGGTATCAGACGACCAACTTCCTAACAAAAAATTTCTTCGTAGAGCGTGATTGGGAGCCAGTGATACATGACAGCATCATTCGTTTTAAATATATAGATCTACTAACGGCAAAGGCATTTAGCTATACAGCCCTGTTTTGGGTAGGTACCTAGCCGTCTTCCTAGTTTCCACATTATTTTTACTTTAATTTAAATTCCTTTTTTGTTTTAATACAACAATAACAATAAAGCAGACTGATAAGTCTAGCTTATTATTATTGTTGTATTAAAACAAAAAAGGAAAAACGAACACGTAAATGAAACACACATTTTTCCAATATTATTTATTGAATAATTTATTTTTTAACTTATTATATTTTACACAGCTTTCTTCTGCATTCTCGGCAATTCTTAGCTACATTTTTTTAGTGGCACAACTTTATGAAACTTTTCAAGGTAATCACATTTTTTTTAAAGAGGGCACTGATATTTTTTTATACACTTATTTAAGTTTTTCTAAAATTTCAATTGCCTTTGGCCAGAAAGAATGATGCTCTTTTCCTTTATGCTTTTTTTGTTTATCGATGCTCCATTGACACTATCAAATAATTGGTCAAAGAATGAAACAACTTCAGCTGTATTTCTTAATGTTATGCTGACGGGCCTGCCATCCACATAAGTTGCTGCAAATTAAAATATTCATACAATAATTGTATGAAACTTGATTCAAAACTATTAACTGTTAGTAAATTTCATCTAATACTCACAGAAATTTGCAGTGTAAGACAAAGCTGCAGACATATTTTTACACAATTTTTTACCTGCAAAAAGAGATATTATATTTAAAATTATCTTCATTAGAGAATCATTATTGTAATTTAAGTGTAAACTATATTAACTACTTGTTACATAATTAAAAATACAGGTCACTGAATCAACACTTGCTCTGATAGAGAATATAGAAGCTGAATACAAATTATTTCTTTTATTTATACTAATTTAAGTTATACTAATATAATAACCAATGCATTACCTTCATCATTTTAATTTTATCAGGTATAACTCATTAGTCATTTAATTTATGACGTAGCCCAGCTTAATTAGCAGCCAAATAATATCATGCCATTTTGCAAGTTTAATATCCAATATTAAATTTTTTGTTAAAAAATTGTTCCTGATGCATTTTATCAAGTATGCAGAATCATAATGTTCAAATCCACCCCACATATTTTAAGAATGCCAACTGAAACAAAAATTTAAGAACTTCTTAAAACATAGATAACAATATAAAAATAGGAACCTTCACTACTTTCATTAAATCTATTAGTTTTCTTTCATATAAATATAATTCTCTGTACCAACCTGTGATTTCAATTTAAAATTTAATCACACTAAGTGTCTTCTTTTAGATTTTTGAGTGCTGATTGGAAATGGGATTAAGGTCCAATTCAACAACTTTTTCTACTACTAACTTTTATTATACGAAAGTGCTGTTTCTAATGACATCTCATCAAATATAATGGAGCATATTTTTTGGAGTTTCATTTGTCCAACTGAAAAAATAAATTCAAATAAGTAGGTACATATTATTATTTGGTAGTAATACAAAAAATTATAAAAGTATAATGAAAAATCTTATATAGAATATATTTACCTCTTACATGAAGCCTGGTTCTATGATCGATTTTCTAATCATAGTATTCAGTGTAGTTTTGGATGATAAATAAAAAAAATTTTGCTTAAAAATCAATAACACTTTGGACTCTGCTTTGATATTGATAAAGCAATTATCTTTTCTTCGGTAGTGAATCACCTCTCATGTTTATTTTTAGAGCACATGCTCACTTGCATTTCAAAAACGTTTTTTGCAACTGTGTTCATTTTTTGTCGGAACTTTTCAAATGATAACTTTTTACAAAACTTAACGGTATTTAAGTATTCTTAATTTTATTATGAAAGTTCAACTACGTCTTTGGCTTGTTATATTCTTCATAAATTCTCTGGTATAAAGGTGACAATTGGCTTTATTTGGTAATAAGCCTTTTGTTTGGGTACATTTCACAGGGTCTGTAACATC